GGGGGGGGAGACGTACCCCGGCGGTCGGGGCAACCGTAGCATCGGACCGAGGCCCCGTGTCGCCGCGGGCTGGACAGAGAAACGAAGCAGGAGCCCAGCAGCCGTCCGCATGATGGTTAGTCGGAGGGATGTGTGAAGGAGGGGCGGAGGGGGGGGGGGCCGGGGGGGGGGGGGAACGCACCAATCCGCTCCCGCTCGGTGGCCAGCCACCACTGGTAATACTTGTGGTAGGGATCGGTGGGCTCGAAGAAGGAGAACTTGTTGGACATCTGGTCGCGAGACTTGGCGCGAATCGTGTCGGCAAAGCTCTCACCGCGGTCAATGATGAACTTGACCGAAGTCTGGATGACAACTACGATGGTGGTGGGGAGGGAGGGGCAGGGGTCAGTCAACAGGGAAGAGCAGCAGACACAAGGGGAGACGGGGGAGGGGGCATCGGACGAACATCGAATCTCCTGGGGTGGAATAATGACGCCCTCCGGGACATTCGGCAGGGAGGTCCCCTCAGGTCCGGAGGGAGCGGCCCCGGGCGGGGGCGGCTGCGCCGGGCCACCGCCCGACGGCGGAGGAGGCGGCTGTGTCGCGGCCGCCACCGAGGACGGCGGGGGCGGCGGCTGAGCCATGGCGCTCGAAGGCGGCGGGGGGGGCTGACCAGCAGTGGCGGCCGACATGATGGGGATAAGACAGGGAAGGGAGGGGGGGGGGGGGGGGGAGGGGAGAGGGGCCGTTGCCCAGGCATCCCTCGGATGTCTGGGTAACAACTCCCTGTTCAAGGGGCGAGCCGGCTTGCCCCCCTTCCCCCCCTGTACAGTCGTACCAGCCCGGCCGCCGCGTAGGGACACCGGGCTGGAGGCAGCCTCCGCGCGCATGCAGGTCCAGACTACCAACGGATGGTCTATTCTTCGTGGATTCTGTCATTCCAGTTTAGCGTTCTGCTCGAGGCCTCGGCGTTGAGCGATCTAAGAATCCGGTTTTTCTCCGAGCTCAGTGCTACCACGGGTAGCCCCGGCCACGGGGAGGGCGGATTCGCCGTTGGCCCGTTCGGCCGATCGATCGCCCGCGCCCCCCGGCCATCGCCACACCAACGGGAAGCCCCCTTTTACCCTCCCCGCACCGACATGGGAGGGGGGGGGGGGGGGGGGGCAGTCGGTGACGGCGGCCTTCGAGGTCCACTGTGCGGGTCGGCCTGAAAGGTGCCCTGGTGCCGGCAGGCCGGGCTCCGGGATGGGCCACACGCCGATCCTGGTCGGTCTCCCTGTGCCCGCCCCATCCACTGCGCCGATCCGCCTCCTCCTTCCTCTCCCTTTGCCCTACCCTCCGTGCTCTTTCACCGTTTCTCTCCCTCTCGCTCGCTCGCTCGCTCTCCCTCTCCCTCTCTCGCTCTCTCTGCTCATGGCCCCGGCGTACCTTCGCCCGCCCGCCGGCGGCCCGGCCCATGGCCCCCCTGAGGGGCCGCGCGCGATGGCACGCTGTTCGCCATCCGCGCGGCTGGACTCCGCTCGATTTGCCCCCTTGCGAGAGGACCTGCTGCAGCTCGTTGGGCAGTTCCTCCGCCGGCAGGGTTTCCTCCGGGCCCTGGGCGCGCTGCGTCTCGAATCCGGAGTGCAGTTCCCCCCGGTCGGGCATTTCAGCCCTCGCTTCCAGGAAGCCTGCCGGTCTTTTCGCCTGGTACACTGCCCCAGCTGTGCGCACTCCTGCCCGGTGGCCGCGGCAGCGGGACCAGGCCCGGCGGTCGCCATCTCCGCCGCCAGTGCGCCAGCGGCCCCTCCTGGGCATCCAGCAGTCTCGGCCGCGGCCGCGGCGGCGGCTGCTGCTGCTTCTGGGGGGCACTTCTGCCAGCCGGTGCCCGGGTCCCCGGCGGATGGCCTGGCCTCGGCCGCCCTCGAGTGCTTGGTAACCGACTGGCTGGCCGGGCGCCTGGCCGACTCGGCCGACTGGATGGAGCCCGGGGCATGTGCGCACTGCCCGGTGCCGGCGCGCACGGCCACCACGGGCACCGCTGCCGGTTCCGGCATCGGTGTTGCTGCTAGTGCCGCTGGCGCGGCCGCCAGTGCCACCACCACCACCACCACCACCGCCCTTGCGAGTGCTGGCCATGCCCCGCCGTCGGACGACTTGCTCCACTTGCATGACCAGCAGCATCACCATTACCACTCGCAGCATGCCTTCGCGCTGGCACCCCCACCGCCGGCGGACCAGCATTTCGTCTCGCGCCCGGTGCACAGCGCGCCGGCGAGCTTCTTCCATTCGTCCGACCCGGTCGCCGGGTATGCGCCGCACGCGGCCTTGGGGCCGATCTCGGACCCCGCGCCGGGGCTGGTGTCCCGGCCACAGCCGCTGCTGCCGCCGGTGTCACTGGCATCGCACCACCAACAGCTGCACCCCCAGCCGGCCGCATATCGCCTTCTGCTGAATGGCCCGAATTCCCATGCCCTCTCGGAGGCACATGGGTTTACGTCATCCGTCGGGTCGCCGGGGTCTGGGCCACTTTTTTTGGCCCCCGCCGATCCCGGCGACGAGGATCATCCGCAGGACAACGACTCCGACTGGGGCTATGTCGCGCCGGCACCCTCGGCCCGATCGCGAGGCGCCGGCCCCTTCGAGACACACCCGTCGGCGCCGGTCTTCCTTCATCCCGCCGAGGGCCAAGGGCCTGGGGAAATGGCGCCCCGCCACCAGCGCCCGCTGCCAGTGCCCCTGCCTCCGATTGCGGGGCCGCCCTCCGGTCCCGGAAGTGCGGCTCCCCCCGAGACACGCACCCCGGAGACGGCCGGGCCGCCGGCCGAGCCGCCCCCCCGGCCGCAATCCTGGCCCGGTGCGCAAGCCGGCGACGGACATGACACCGCCGCCCCGTGGACCGCCGGCCCGAATGCCACAGGTGCCTGGTATGCCGAGGAGCCGGTGTCGCCTTCGCCCGCGCCGAAGCGCCACCGCCCCGCGTCCCGGGCGAACCAGCCTGCTCCATTGCCAACGCCGCCGCCGGTCTCCTCGCAGCCCGCGCCGTCGGCCCCTCCGGCTCGCCAAGGGTCCTCCTCGCTGATGTCGCCGCACCTGTCTCACCTGTCGGGCGACTCGCCGGAAAGCACCTCCCCGGCATCGAGCTTCTCCCCGGTGTATGTCCCACTGCCTGTGGGTTTGTCGGGCCCGCGACCGGGGGCCGCCCAGCGCGCCGGGGCCCCGGAGCCCGATCCGACCCCGCGCCAGCCGCAGCAGCCGCAGCAGCCGCAGCAGCCGCAGCAGCCGCAGCAGCCGGCCCCCCGGCGGGCCGCCACCCCGCCGGCCCCCGCCGGCCCGCCCTCGGCGCCCGTGCCGCCACCATCCGCATCGCCGGCGCCCGGGCCCTCACCGGCAGCTGCTTTACCGGCGACCACGACTCAGCCCAAGCGCCGGCGAACCCCATCCCCGCCGATCGCCGCTCGAAGATCCCGGCCCAGCTCTCGCGGGTCCTCCCAGCCCCGGCCAGGCGGCTCCAAATCGGCGGCCGGCCTCACGCGCGACAGCATCTCGGCCCTCTTGCAGGCACTCGACTCGAATGACCTGCTGGACAATCTGCTGGATCAGGTTCACGCCGCCGAGGGCACCCCTGGCCGAGATTGATCGGCCTCGCTGGCATAAAGAAAACCTCCCCTGCCCATGCTTCGTGTCCGTTTCCTCCCCGAGGGCAGCCCCGCAGGAGATGGTCTTGGACCCAGCGAGACACCTGTGGACTAGGAACTACTGCCAACGCATGCGCTTTCGGTTACTTTTCAAAGCACTCCCTCCGCTTGGGGTCCGGCGGGCGGTGGGGGGCGGCGGCGGCAGGGGGG